CAGTCATATTGCTGTCCTGTACAAGGAGGAACTTCAAACACCTGGAATTATTTATAAAAAGTTGTGTATTCTTACATGTTTAAATTTCAGTTATTTTCAAAGTACTCTTAGTTAGGTGTGATGCACCTATCAAGATGCCTTTGCCCACTGCTCAAAATCGTTTTTGAACTTGTCAATTTTGATGCCTTTCAGTGCTTCTGCCATTTTTTTGTTTCATCTTTTTCACATCAGCAAAAAAAGGTCCCTCAGAACAACATGAATAGGATACGTGGGGCATGGGGTCAAGCTGTTTTTTCCCCTTACCCTGTGTGGTGTTGGCAGGTGCACTCCTAAATCACTCATCATGAAATGGGAAAATGCATTGAAAAATCTCCAAAAAAAAATTTTCTAAAGCCAAACACAATGTCTTACAACAACGCTAACTGCTGCACTGATGCTGATGAGTTCCTCATACACTTATCTAGCAAAGGAAACCTGATCTAGAAGAGGCCGTACCTCCAAAAGATAACTTCTGTTTTTTTGGATTCTCCATAATATATCTGGAATTCTTTTTCTCTTGATGCTTTTAGTGTTTTTTTTTTAAACTGTCTTTGGATTTCAGCAGACTATGGTTGGTTTGGTTGTGATTTACTTTGTTATTGTCCTTTTGAGGTTTATTGAGTTCTTAAATTTGTAAATAAATGTTTTTTCATTAAATTTTAGAAGTTTTTGTTGATTTCCTTAGATGTATTTTTTTGGTACCATTTCTCTCTTTTTAGGCATTCTCATTACCCCTGTGTTGGACTACATTGTCTTACAGGACTCTGAAGGTTGATTATTTTTTCCACTTTTTCTCTGTTTTTCAGATTGTGTAATTTATATTGATTTATGTTGATCTCTTTCTAAGTTCAGATTCTTAGTTTTGCTGTCCACGTTTACTGTTGAGCACCTCTAGTGAATTCCTTTTTTTTCCCTTAAATTGTGCTTTCTGTGTCTAGAATTTTCATTGTCTTTTTTATAATTTATTGAGATTTCCTAATTTTTAAATAATTGTTAATCTGTTTTTGTTTAATTTTTTGAACATGTTTTCTCATTTGTTGAACATATTTATTACATGCCCTTTAAAGTCTTTGCTAAGTCTAACATTTGGACTATAAGAGTCATTTTTGATTATTGTCCTTTTCCTGATTAGGGGTTATATTATTTTTGTTTCTTTGCATGTATATTGCATTTAGTTGAAAACCAGACATTTTGGATAAGGATTACAGCAACTCTAGACTTTGTTTTTCCATGGCTGTTGATGTTTGTTTGGTTTTAAATGACTTGCCTTGTTTAATTTGTAGTTTCTGTCTTCTCTATGGTCTGCAGCTTCTGATTTTTCTCTGCTCAGTATTTTACTTTTTCTTTTTTCTTTAACACAACACTCTTAGGGTTTCCTATATTTCTACATGTCTTAGAGGTCAGTCAGTGATTCAGGTAGAGGCTGTGATAAAATTCCTTCAGCCCTCTGCTGGTTGATCTGTGGGTGTTCAGGGATTTCACTCAAAGTTGTGACCACCTACGTTGTCTTCCTTGCCTTTCTTTTTCAGTTAACCACACAGGTCTCCCCTGTACATAGGTGCTTTCCCAGTCAGCTGGGGATGTGTGAAGTTGTTTCACTACTTCTATGGTTCTCTCATTTTTAACATCTCCCAGTTAGTATCTGACTAGTTTGCTGTTTACTCTGAAGATAGCTTTGGTCCAGCAAAGCTGCTGGTTTCTCCCATTAATTCTTGACTAACTCTGACACTTTTAGTTGGACAATTGTGGTTTTCAAGTCTTACCCTGAATCATGTTTGCCTCTCTGAAAGTAACACTGCTGCTTTTTACTGCCCGTCTCAAGCTACAGTTCTCATCAACTAAACTAGGGTGGCAGTAATAGGAGTAGGCTCATCAACAAGGCTACTAGCTCCTGATTTTCTTACCTGAATTTTAGGAGCTCTCAAAAATAAATGCTTCTCAGTCTTATTGAGTTTCCATTGCATATGAAAATCTTGTTTAGTTTTATTCCCGTCTTTTTTTATGGAGGGAAAATGCTGATTGTCATGTTGACATTAATGGATGTTAGTCCCCCTATTTTAGTTTTATAGTATATTTTAATTTTTACTACTTTCCCACTCTTTATTACGATGAACAAACAAAACATTTATAAATTGGATTAATATATAGAAATGTGAAGAATTAGTCACATTTAGATGCAATTCAGTTACTTTCAAACTCTGAATAAAGAGATTTATTAAATACTGTATTAAATAGATTAAAAATAACTTGAATGATGGGTAGTTCCTTTAAAAATCTAATTGGAGTTCTGTGAATATATTCTTTGGGGGCAAAAACTCAGGATTACATTTTCAAATTGTAGATTTTCTTTCTTGATGACTTAAAAAGAGAGAAGGTGGAAGGGAGGGAGAGAGAGAAAATTTAAACTAGGTGCAATTTCAGTCCTGTTTGTTATTACATTGGTACCAAGTATATACTACCATAATTTTTAAAGGCCAACACGAAAAGAACAGAGGTAAATTTAGTAAGAGTTCCACATTAACTTAGTTAAATGGAGTATGAACACAGTCTCCAGTGGAGAAAATTAGAGGGAGGACAGTGCAAGATGATATAGGAATGCCAAACCGTGTCATAGTCATTAATAGCATTTCCAGAGTATAAGTGGCAAATTAACTTCTGTCAAAGGATAGACATTTTAACATTTAATTGTTAAATATAAATTTTTCTTTTTCACGAACTCATTTAAACATTATCTCTGATACTGCACTTAGGTCACCATTTTGGAGCACTGACCCTTCCTTGGAAGTGACTGTGTTTTCTGATTCAGAGTCAGTCTCAGCATATGCCCTGTTTAAGATGTTGTAGATTTTTAATTTTGAGGTTCTAGTTTAATGAATATTTTTAATATCTGTGAATAGATTAAAATACTGTAAGCATTCAGATTATCTTTTTGAGTATTGCTGTTGCCTGAATTATATTTTCTTTATTGAAAATATAATAGAGTACATACTGTAGTATATTGCAATTAAAAAATATGTATATCCATATACATTTCTTTAGTCATATAATCATGGTAAAACAGATTACATCAAAATATTCCCAGATTTCAATATTGTTTGTTGCAGGTCACTTTTATTATCTTCCTTATACTTTTCTCTATTTCCAAATAGAGAAGTGTATATATATGATATTTATAAACTATGATTAGAAAAATATGTAAGTTTCATTGAAGTACTGTAGGATATTTTTTTCTCTAATGTATGAAGTGTGTGTGTGTGTGTGTGTGTGTGTGTATGTGTATCAAGTAAGAACCAACTTTGGTCAAAAAGCAAAGTAGACCCAATGAACTTTTATAAAATTTACTGCTTATGTAAAATAAACAAATTGGATTCTGCTTTAGTTAGAAATGTTCATTTAAAAAATTATTGCAGGGTACTTATTCAGTTTATAGATTTAATTCAAGTTCTTTAGATCTCATATTATTAATCTTAGTAAAACATTATTTGAAAGTACTTAGTGGTATCTAGAGATTATCTTTTGATGAAATAATTGTGATTTTTAACTAGATATTTGTTAATTTAAGCTATAGGTAGCATAGTTTTGTGGTATATTACTGTGTGTAGGTTTAAACCAATATTAAACTTACATTAATATTTCTTTTAAAAAGTTTAATTTTTGTTTTGTTGAACTTAAATTATTAAAGAAAAACTTACAGACAATATTAGTGTTGTCCTAGTGATTGATTGTTAATAGTTTTTGTAGTAAGACTTAAAAATTTTTGAGGAAAAATGGCTGATTTCCGATGTGTCTTTTTATGAGATTACAATATGATATGGACCTGAATGCTTTCAATTCATGTTTTAAAAGGAATTAAACTTCTTTTTGTATAATTAAGTTTCCTATTAATCACTAGAAGTTTTAGATCTTTCCTTTTAGTTCAGAATTCTTTCATACTTACTAAACATTGAATTTTTTTTTATCTAGGAGAATATTGTTCCTTTTGAAAGTAATTATAAAAGTTTATGATTATTGTTTTTGTCCTAAATGTTTATGAGGAAGGGACTACTATAATGAATCAGTTGAATTTCACTGTCATTATACTTTGCTTATGCGCAAGTCAGAAGGTCCCTATAGATTTTTAAAATATAAATTGGATTGCTATATAATTTTTGAGTATGGAATATGAAATTTATTTTTAGTGGTCATTTAGTTTTAACTTTTTTACTTTTGGAATTCTTTTATTTTCTTTTTTTTGGTACACTACTCTTCCCTGGTAGTTTCCCACTACTGCCAGTTCTGCCTGTACCACTTCCCTACCCCAGTAGTTTCCTACTACTGCCAATCCTTTTTTTATAGTATTACAATAGTTGTTCAAGTTCTGCTTATGAATGAGAGCATATAATACTCAGTTCTTTGTTTCTGTGATAGGTCACTCAGTATTATAGACTCTAAGTCCATCCAAGTTGCTGTGAAGTTCATAATTTTGTCCTTTGTGGCTGTGTAATATTTCATCGTGTTATAATTATTTCTGATTATCGTTCATTACTAGCCTGTTCTCTTGTTTTTCATGGTGATAATTATTTACAAACTTAAATAATGTGCTACCATTAAACAATGTTTTCTTTACATTAAATTTAAAAAGTTGGTAACCTCCAAAGGAGATTGTTAAGCTGGTAGCAGTGGAAGAAAATCAGAAAATTAGCTGGGTATAGTGGTGTGTGCCTGTAGTTCCAGCATTACAAGTTGCATATGATTATGTGCATGGAATAGTCAGTCACCTTATTTCCTGCATTCCAGTTTCTCATTTCTTAGTTTTCATTAAACTGAGATAAGCAATTTTTTAAATATCAGAAATGTATATTAAATTTACGTCTGTGTTACCTGAATTTGGTTTATAGTAACATGAAAAAATATATATCTCAAAGTTTTATTTGTGAAAATTATACTCAGAATAGTTTGTTTTAAATATTTATTTCATGCAGTGTTATCTACAAACTTCTGGCATCAAAAAGCGAAGGAATCAGAGTACAAGCTCTTAAGGCCATGGGCTATTTTTTAAAACATCTGGCCCCAAAGTGAGTATGCATGAACTCTAAAATGGACTGTACTATTTATTTTATAAATCCTTGGAATAGCATTTCTATTTTATGGTCCTTCTAGTCTTTTATATTTGTTCATTAAAATGCTGTATAAAATTAATATCATTAATACATATTTTAAAAATAAAATTGAACAAGAATATATAGTTTGTATGTAAAATTATTGGCCAGGAGCAGTGGCTCATGTCTATTATTCCAGCACTTTGGGAGGCCAAGGTGAGAGGATTTCCTGAGCCCATGGGTTCGACACTAGCCTGGGCAACTTGACGAGACCTTATCTCTACAATAAATCAGAAAATTAGCTGGGTGGAGTGGTATGTGCCTGTAGTTCCAGCTACTTGGAAGGCTGAGGCGGAAGGATTGCCTGAGCCCAGCAGGTCGAGACTGCAGTGGCTGCGAGCGTTCCACTGCCCTCCAGCCTGAGCAACAGAGTGAGAGTCCAACTCAAACAATAAATAAATAAAATAATTTATTTGTATATTTTTTGTGAATTATGAGAATTAGGATAAATTGAATTCTAGAAATGATGGCATCTTCATTTCAGGTGACTTGCATCATTATTTGCTTTATCTTTACTAGAAAGCTGATGAAGTAATCTGAATGTTTGTTGCATAGTGTGTTCTGCTATATATGTAACTAAAACTGAAACTCCCAAGCTTATTTTCTTAGGTGAATGAAGGCACTCATTTTCTACTTATTGTTCTTCATATCAGTGTAGTTTATTATAAAAATTAAAAATTTTGGAGGTAGAACAAGTGTTGGTAAACTGCAGTCTTTAGGAATTCAGCTTACTATCTGTAAATAACACTTATATTGGAACACAGGTACAGTAATTTATTTGTGTATTATCTATGGCTGCTTTCAGGATGTTAAGTTGTGATCGAAATCCTGTGCTCCACAAATCCTAAAATATTTACTATTTAGCCATTTGCAAAAGAAGTTTGCTGACCTCAGGGGTAGAGTTAAAATTCATGATTCTTCATTTTGTAAATTTGTGCTTAGAAGGTTAATTTTGTTAAAGTAGTAAGTTTTTAAAAGTTATATTACTTTTTCTTCTACTTTTCCTCCTCCACATTGCTTTTCTGCTTTAGATGGTTATCCCCAGAAGCTCAGTACTAGCAGATAGTAGCGACTTATTTAAATAATTGCTCTGAAGATTTTGGTGGAGGTTTCTGCTGTGCTGTCGCATAGCCAAACTTGTGCTTTTTTTTTTTTTTTTTTTTTTACTTTATACTTATATTGTAGTTAGTATTTCTCTACTTACAGGTTTTGTGGCCATAAAGTTCTAATAGATGCTGATTATAAGAGTAGTTGAGTTGGAATTTGTAATGTGAAAAACATTTTGTGTTTCCTCATCCAGCATGCATACTAAATAGAGCACAGCAAAACTCTGCATTTGATGTTTTTTTTCTGTGTAATTGCAGGAGGAAAGCTGAAGTCATGCTTGGGCATGGATTGTTTTCATTGCTAGCTGAAAGACTCATGCTTCAGACAAATTTAATCACAATGACCACATATAATGTGCTGTTTGAGGTAAGAATGTACTTAGGATTTACTCAGTAATTTCTTACTATTAAAGTGCTTCTTGACAATGTCTAGATAATAAGATCATTTAGTTTTGTAAGGTACAGTTTTGAAATTATTCACATAAAGAAATGGCTGCATTTTCGTAAGTCTGGTATTAATCTGAATTACTAAACAGTATAGTTATTTCTGTTTAAGTATTTCCTCTATTGTATTGACTTATTTGATGACTCCTTTTATAACTAAGTAAAAATAGAGTAATAATAGAAAATGAAGTCATTTATTTTATATGCATAAAATCTTTAGCATGACAATGCACTAAATTTTGATTAATGTCATACTTAGAGTTGGTTAATAGTTATAATATTACAGTGATTTGCTAATGTAATCTATTGTTTTACTTTTGTAGATTCTTATAGAACAGATTGGTACGCAGGTAATACATAAACAGCATCCAGATCCTGATTCTTCAGTAAAGATACAAAACCCTCGTATGTATTTAATATACTTTAACCCAAACTATGTTTTGCTACTTAAAAAGAAAGTCACTGAGATAAACTGAAGGTTGATATTGTTGAAACAGATTGTTAAATGACTATTTCATGAAGAGCGCTTATATTATACTAACTTTATTTGTGTTTAATGTTGAATATAACTTCAAATTGACCTTAAGTTATGTGGTAACTTAAGTTAAATGCTTATAGAAAAAAAAGCTCTGAAGAATTGTATGCAAAAGTTCTTGATTTAATGTATGTTTAGATTTTTAGCAAAGTTCTGATTATGCTATTCAGTGATGTTAGGATAAATTACATGAACCATGGAGAGAGCTTTTATCTAAATTACTGTCAATATAGTAATATACTAAATTGGAATAGAAAAATGTGTCTATTGTTTATGAATGTAGTCTTGTTAAAGTCTTTTCTTTTAATATTTAAAACTCGTAAGCATTTATATAAGTACATTTTTCAGCTTGCCTTTAATAGTCATTAAAATAATTGGTAGGCTGGGCATAGTGCCTTAAGCCTCTAATCCCAGCACTTTGGGAGGCCTAGGTAAGAGGATTGCCTGAACCCAGGGGTTTGAGACCAGCCCGGGCAATTTTGGGAAGATTTAGTCTCTACAATAAATCAAACATCGCTGGTCATGGTCGTGCATGCATATTGTTCCAGCTACATGGAAGGCTGAGACGGAAGGATTTCCTGAGTCCAGCAGGTTGACACTAGGGTGGCCGTGAGTGTGCCAGTGGCACTCCAGCCTGGGTGACAGAGTGAAACTCCAATTCAAAAAACCCCAAAAAACATAAAAAAAAAAAAATTGTAGCGCTTTGAGATGTAATTATTTTTTGTGGTGAAAATGTGTCTATGTATTGGGTATTCTGCTTCAGCTCATTTTAAAAACACATGGTGTAATTTTTCTCAACATTTAGAGAAACATGATGCCGTTATTTGAGAATTAAAAGAAAAGAAAAATTTGAATTTATAGCCATTATATATGAATATGCATTCATATATGTTATATGGATAGATGACTTACTGATGTAAGAATTTTAGACTTTACTGTCTTATTCTGCTTTTTGCTGCTGTAACAGTATATCTGAGAGTGTGTAATTTATTAAGAACAGAAGTTAATTTTCTCACAATTCTGGGGTTGGGAAGTCCAAGATCAAGGTGCCTGCACTTGGTCTGGTGAGGACTGTTCTCTGCTTTCAGGGAAGGCTGAAGGACAAGCTAGCCAAACATTATGTGAAGCCTTTGTACAAGGATTTTAATTCCATTAATGATGGAGAAACCCTTCTGGCCTAATCACATCTTAAAGCCCCCCACCTCTTCATGACATCACATTGGCAACATCTGAATTTTGGAGGGAACATTTTCAAGCCATAGCAATGATCTAATATATTGGCTCAGAAAAGGCAGATAGTACAGTATAGTGATTAAAAATATAAACTGTCAGGTCGGGTATTGTGGCTCACGCCTGTAATCACAGCACTTTGGAAGGCCGAGGTGAGAGCATTCCTGAGCCCATGGGTTCGAGACCAGCCTGGGCAACTTGGCCAGACCTCATCTCTACAAGAAGTAAAAAAATTAGGGCCAGGTTCAGTGGCTCAGCCTGTAATCCCAGCACTTTGGGAGGACGAGGCGAGTGAATTGAGAGAGCCCGCGGGTTCGAGACCAGCCCAGATAACTTGGCGAGATCTCTCTCTTTCTCTACAATAAAATACAAAATAGCCGGGCGTGGTAGTTCTGTGTCTAGTTCCGGCTACTCGGAAGGCTGAGGCGGAAGGATCACCAGAACTCAGCAGGTTGACCCTGGGGTGGCCATGAGCGTGCCATTGCACTCCAGTCTGGGAGAAGGAGTGAGACCCCAACTCGAAAAAAAAATTGGCGAGGTATATATATATTGAGGGAGGGGGAGGGGGAACGGGAGCGGGAGCGTCTAATGTTGAACTTCTGGTTATATGTCTCACTAGTTTTCTAACTTTGAGTACGTTACTTAATTTTGGTGCCTTAGTTTACCTGTCTCTAAAATTAGGATATTGGTATCCACTTAATGTATCAAGACTAAATGTATGAAAACATGTATTTTCTTAAAACAGTGCCTTGTGATTTCAAAGTTAGTGACAATTGAATCTTCTATTATGATTATTGTAGTCATTGTAATCGTTGTACAGGTAGAGAACTTCTGAATTTGTCAGTAGAGGAACTGAGAAATTGTTCCCAAAATATCATTAATTGCATGACAAATATTCTTCATATTTGCTATTTTGAACTTACTGTTTCAGAATCACCAAAATTCTTGGCAAAAGGGTGGTTGAGAATTTTGAAAATTTTAACTTGGTAAAAATTTTATACATTATTTAATTTTTAAATTCAGAGTTATAGCAGTTATTTGTTTGTTATTTGTAAAGTTCTGGATTAAGTATGCATTTTAAAAATATTGTTTTCTTTAAGCTAAGTTCTGGAAATTTTGACAGCTTTATCTAAGACCATTTAACAATAGCAGTTTTGTTTACCTCTGTGGGGGGAATAGGATGTTGAATAGCTTTTAATTTCCTTTTTTTACCTCTAATTTTATTTTTTAAATTGGAAAAAATCTTCACAGCTTTTAAAAATTCACTATATGCATAACACTAATTATGTTGAGGAATGTGAGAATATATTCTCTTTTTCTGAGATTTGAATTATAGTGTTTTTGTTGTTTTTAAGATCAACTTTATGTGGCAGAGATTGAAGAGGGTTATCAGCAGTTTTACTGTCATTTAATTCATTTATAATTTAATTTGTTTTATTTTGTTTAAAATTCAGCTTTACTTTGCACATTCAAATCATGAAATAGAATCTCTTATTTAGAAATGCTTTCTAGTGAATATATTGTTCTTTCCATAGGTTTATTTTATTTTATTTTTTAATAACAAAAGAGGATTTTGTAGTAGATGTTTGATTCAGGGGAATTAAAAAAATTACAACATATTGATGACCTTCCATCATGAATTCTTTTTTGTTATGTTTGGTTTTTACCTATTTATGAACTATCTTACAGAAATACTTAAAGTAATTGCGACCCTACTTCGAAATTCTCCTCAGTGCCCAGAGTGCATGGAGGTTCGCAGAGTCTTTCTTTCTGACATGATTAAACTTTTTAATAACAGTAGAGAAAACAGGAGGTAAGTTGGATCATAAGGTATTTATTTGCAGTATTTAAGTCAATATTTGTATAAACCCATTTTATCTTAGAAAAATTGCTTGAAAATACTGCGAATTGACTTTTTCATATTATTTTCCATTAAGGGTATATATGTGATGTACTATACAGTTAAATTAGAATTTTTAGTTCCATGTTGTTGAATTGTATTGAAGATATAGACAAATGTGTTTTTTTGGGAGATTTGTTTTCTTTTAAACCTTTATAATTCTTTCAGATGATTTTATTTATTTCAGTAATTCATTATCTTTTTATAATTTTCAGGAGCCTGCTACAGTGCTCTGTGTGGCAAGAGTGGATGCTTTCTCTCTGCTATTTTAATCCTAAGAATTCAGATGAGCAAAAGATAACAGAAATGGTATATGCCATATTCAGAATCCTACTTTACCATGCAGTCAAATATGAGTGGGGTGGCTGGCGTGTATGGGTAGACACCTTATCAATCACACATTCGAAGGTAAGTTTCTTTGTGGAAGTGTATTCTAGCATTTTAATATGTATAATTTTGAGTTTTACTATTAAAAATTTATATGCTTAAAATTAAGGAATAAAGGCAAGTTATTCTCTGAAAGTACTTTGAAATGAAAACCCAAAAAGGGAATCAATTAAAAGAAATATGAAGTATTTACAACTTATTCAGAATAAAAGTAATATTTTTCAAATGTCCGTATTCTGTGTGCTTAACTTTATAAAGTCAAAGCTTATGCTACAGCATAGATGAATTTATATCTTAAATATTCACAGAATTTTATGGTAGTTAGAAGCTCTTGAACACAAGGTGGCGCACTAGATTCAAAGATGAGAATTTGTTTTAGTGTTTAAGGTTGAGTAAACAGGAAAACCCTGGTTCATGTTACAGACAGTTAAAAAACTTGTTTGGAAGAGTCTACTAGTCTGTTATTTTTCTCTTTTAAACTGAAGGCACTATACGTTATTTATGTATAGTTGCGCTTAAAATTTTTGAAATATTCTAGGCATACAAAAAGGTGTAAAGAATATTGTGCCTACCACTGTTTATGAAATTGGGCACCCTCCCCTAATGGCTTTGTCTTCTTTTCTCAGTCCCACCTCTTACCCCACTAATTGGTGTTGTCATTTCTGTCTTCTCTATACTTTTACTACATATATACATATGACTCTAAATAATTTTATTTTTCATTTTTAAGCTTAAGAAAAATTCCGTTATATTAAATGCTTTTTTCCTGTTTTTATTTTTTATTTTTTTAATCTTTTTTTTTTTTTTGAGTTGAAGTCTCACTCTGTCACCCAGACTGGAGTGCAGTGGCTGCTCCTGGCCACTGCAGCCTCTACCTGCTGGCTCCGGCGATCTTTCCACCTCAGCCTTCTAAGAAGCTTCTAAGGGACTACAGGCGCGCGCTACCATGTCCTGCCAATTTTTGATTTATTGTTGAGATGAGGTCTCCCCAAGTTGCCCAGGCGGGTCACGAACGCTTTTTTCCTGTTAATTGCTGTTTTTAACTTCTTATTGTTTGAGATTCATCCACTTTGACCATATGTTTGTGTTCATTTTTCTCAGTTGTATTTCATGGCATCACTTTATTTATTTATCAGTTAATTAGCATTTTATACACATTTTTGCATATTCAAGATTTTTTCTGTTTATATTCCTATAAGTGGAATTGCTGACTTGTAAGATCCTAATGTTGAGCTGTACAAGATAACGTAAATTCTTTTCCAAAGTAGTGTGTCAGTTTACATTCTCACCTGTAATGTTTAAGTTCTCATTGCTTCATATCACTTCATCAGTTGGAATGATTGGAGTTTAAAATTTGCTAATTTGATGAATTTTGAATGCTTTATAGTCATTATTTCACCCTGTATTTTCTTACTGTTTTGTGTTATGAGTTCTTTATATATTCTTGTTCTTACTCCTTTGCTAGCTATTTGTTTATTAATATCTTCTGTCAATTTGTGACTTTTCTATTTATTTTTGGAGTTTCATGTTTGTCCCTTCTTAGGAAATTTTACATTTCAAATAATGCAGTAAAATTTGTTAGTTTTATTTATGGTATGAGCTTTTTGAGTCTTGTTTAAGAACTCTTTCCTAACTCAGAAGAAATAAAGAAAAATGACAAATTTGAATAATCTTTAAATGTTTTATCTTATTGACTGTCAAAGTTCTTATTCTGAAATATTTTGCCATCCTGTAAGAATATATTGCCATTTCCTAATTACTTGTTTCTAGGTGTTTGAATAGCTTTTAGTTATTTGAAAGTGCCTAGGAATGATTCATTCTGACTGCTCTTTCCTTATGAGAAGAAAGCGTGCTGTTATTCTAAGGGTTTACAAGGGGTACATTAGGTTGGGAGAACCTCCCTACAAATTTGTTTTAGTAAAATCTAGTCGTAAATAAGAAAAATATCTGATTTTATAAAATGACTTTGTTTTAATCAATATTTTTTTGAGGATGATCAGTTTAGCCTAAAGCAGAGTTTAGCCAACTCTGACCCGAGGACCAGTCTGGCCTGACCTGTTTCTCTAAGTAAAATTTTACCAGAACAGAGCTAACTTACTTATTTATGTATGGCATATGGCTATTATGACACTACAGAGATGAAGTTGACTAGTTGCTACACAACCATGTAGCCCTGAAGAGTAAAATAGTTACTCTTTGATCTTTTATACTAAACCCTTGTTTGACTTACCTTAGTGTGTGCAGATGCCCAGCTATTGTGGTTTTTATTGCAGTGTGCTACTGCAATCGAGACTGATTTTCTGCTAATACTATTTTGCCCTTAACAAAAGATTATATGAGAAATAGGGTTGAATATGGTCTCTTACACATTTTGAGTAGATTTCAGACATATTGTTTTTTGAGGGGGATCCTAGGTTAGGGAAGTGGTAAGTAGAAGGCAGATTTTCCTCATTTTCTAAAGAGTGTATTCATTTCACCTTATTTCTTCAAGTCATTAGGAAGGATGGATAGAGGAATGTGACCTTTACAGCAATAGTTGTTGAAGGGTAACCTGAAGACCTTTAGACATTTTCAGGGGTCCACGAATTCCTCTTCTCCTAATACATGTCTATATGATGGTGGATTTTTTTTCATGAACTTCAGCCAAACCAATATATGCAGCAGATTGAATGCAAAAGCAAATATGAAAATGCAGTTGTTTTTAATAAAGCCAGACTTTAAAAATATTAGCAAAAATGTGAAACAATAGTGCTCTTCTCATTAGAAGTATTATTTTTTGGTTTTGAAAAATAGTCATTTAAAAAATACATCATTTATATTAACATGTAATGGGTTTATTATTTTCTAATGAATTAATATTTGTAAAATTTCTCAGTTTTATTTTCTAATATGATAAGCAGTAATAAATATAATCCACATAAACAAAGGGTCTTTGGGGTCCGGAGTAAATTTTATTGAGTGTAAAGAATCCTGAGACCAAAAAGTTTGAGAACTGCTGCCTTAGAAAGTCGTACGGTATTTAGGGCCAATAGACTTGTCTTTCTTAGTTTTCTATCTACAAGATAAAGGAATTGACTACATGATATCTCAAAAGCTTTTGAGTTTTAAGCATTTATATGCAGTTACCCATCCATCTGTGTAAGTAATGAAAGAACATAGACTTTGGAGACAGGAAAGTTCTGGGTTTGAATCCTTACTTACAGTAATTATTAGCTGTGTAAATTCTGGCAAATATTTAAACTTTTTTCAGCCATCAAAGTCTAAACTAGAAAGGGTAAATTTGGTAATATGTGTGTGTGTGTGTATGTGTATATATGACATTTTTTGCAAGAGTTAATTATTTAAATCATAGAAAATCTAATTAAATGCTCCATAACTTTTTCTTTGTTACAGTTATATCATTTATTCATCCTTTCTTCTCATTGCTAGCCTATTAGTTTAAGACATAGTCACTTCATGTTCTCATTTAAATACAGTTGTTAAAATGAAGAATTAATTATATCCAAGATAATTTGTGTACCATATATGTTTTGAAGTGTTATAAAGGAAGACTTGCCGCTGTGACACCCAACTCCAAGAACATGCATGCGGTCCTCCCATCCAGCGTCACCCCTCCTTACCTCAAAATTCTATTTACTATTTTGAATTCTGTGTTTATAATTTCCTTCTTTAAAGAAACTTTAAAAATAAATTCATAAACAATTTATTACCTAACTTTGCCTTTTAAAAAAATTTATGAAAATGATATTATAGCTTATGGATTAATTTATTATTTTTTTCTTCATCAGATATTTTGTTTGTGAGTTTTTATTGTTAGCTATAGCTTTGGTTCATTCATTTTCACTGCAGTGACTGACTCAGGTGCTCAAAGGGAAAGATTTCAATAGAAATCTTTAAACTTATAACTGTGACCCACAGTACGAAATCTATTGTGACAGGGTGTATATGTATATACATACACACTCCCATGTATCTGTATGTATGTATACACCTGTAGGCACATATCTGAAACTGGTTCCTTGAGACAATATTTACCCTTACTAAATTTTAGTACATATGCTTTGATCTTTTTCTATTCTTTGTCACTTAAAAAATGCTGATAATGTTCCCAATAAGGTGACTCCATTATCTACCAGCTGAATTATCCTCAATTTGAAAAAGCACTGCTTTAGCAGATATAAAGTAGGCATACAGTTGCTCAGCCAGAGATGAATAATGTTCCATCCTTCAGTCCTTGAAACTGTTAGACATCTTATTTTTGCATGGTTTGTCTTTTGCCTACTTTCCTATCAAGTTTTTATTTTTCATCATGATTTGCAGTTCTTTATACACACCCAGATTACTTACAGTCTGAATATTTCTAATAGTCTCTATCTCTAGGTGTTATTTTTCTGTGGATTTATTAAGCTAAAAATAACGTATGGTATTGTTCTCTTCCATAAAAACTTTGTTCTAACTCCATAGAAAGGCACAAATATTTTTTACAAATACTCTCTACCTTGTCTTTCACTGCTACCCTTGAAAAAAGTATTTCTTACCCTACATACTACCTCACTTGACAGAAATCTCCACTCAGGCTTTATGAGTCCAGTTATTTTCAAATCTAACATGCCTTGTTAAGTCTTCAATTTTGTTTATTCATGGGTTTCTTTGTATTTATTCAAATCCTTAACATTTTCCAGAACTTAACTAATTAAGTTACTTCTATATGATGGTTGTTCTTACTCTCAGGCCATGTTAACTGGTGTGTATTCATAGCACTTCATTTTCTCTTGTCATCTCATGTTAGCCGGTCTCTTTTCTTCTTCTTTCTCTCTTTTCTGCCTCTCTCTTCCCCTCTCCCCGCTTGCTCTTTCCTCCTCCTCTCCCTGCCACCTCTCTTCCCTCTCCCTTCCCCTCTTCCCCCACCCATTTCTTTCCTCCTGTTACCGATCTTCTCTGTTCTTTCCTATCTCCCTCTCTCTTCCCCTCTCTCTCCTGGCTCTTTCCCCCCTCCTCTCTCTCTTTCTGTTGCCTCTCTT